AGTGATTTTCAAATTTGCCGCTCTTTAGCTGCTTACCATAAGGTTGACGGAGAGTGAATTGCCCAAATTACTTAGAATGAATTTTAACTTGATGAAATTTCACCTCGATTAATATAAAATTTGCATAAATTATCCCAAAGCTGAATATTCATATGACCGCCAGGTCACCGACTTGGCAATTCGACGCACCTGAGCTTTCGGTTTACACTTTCTGCCTCAATTTCGCTATTATGAAAGTGTGTGCATATCATGGATTAAGCTTGTTGTTGTTTATGTTAACAGGACACAAAAACAGCTCTTACTTCCTACTTTACGAACACTGCTCTCCTCTGCCTCCTCCTACTGAACTTTCGTATATGTATGTCCATATGTTTGTATGTATGTGTGTATTTATGAAAGTAGCGTCTTCGACTGTTTGCGTATCTTGTGGCCGCAGTGCGGTTATTCTAATTATTCATAATTTTAGGGTCAGCATTTGGCGGACGCTTAACGCCTTTGAATAACTATTTGCCGGCATTTTGCATGTCACTTTAAAGCTCCTACCTGTTACTGTAAATTAATATACATATACATACATATACATATGGACAATTCTCAATTAGTTCGAACTTTCGCATGACTCGCCAGTTTTTATTCGGACACATAGTTTTCACTGGTTTATTAACAAAAATCAGGTTACATATGTTACGCCCCCTTTCCACTTAAAAAAAAAAACGCGTTAAAAACGTAGTGTGCATTGCTTTAAAACGTTGCACCACGTTGGATTTTGTATTCTAGCAGCTGAAGAACGTATACTAAAAATTTCAGACATGTGCTCGCGATTTAAATATAAAAAATCTGTTCTCGATAATTTGGGCCCCCACTAACTTTTAAGTTATTTCTTATGTATATACTATATATAAAATCATTCACTCAATGCTAACAAAATAATTTGTAAATTTTCTTAATTAAAAAAGTGAGTATGTGGATCATCCGGTTCTGTTTCAAGTTATTCTCGCTAACTTCAAAATAATTCCACTTAAGAAGAGTAAAAACCTGGCTGTAGTCGACAATAAGCGAAAATGGATTGAACGGTAAACTAATAATTAAATTTATAGTTCAATTGTTTATTACTTTGTCTTTACGCTTGTGTCTTCTAAGTGTACATTAGAGCTGTAAAACAATCGATAGTCATCGCATTCGATGTTTTCGATAGTTTGCATTGAAACTATCGATAGTATCGGATAATTTTAAAATGCATTGACGAAGCTATTTATATAAACTTTTTAGTTTTGTTTAGTTCCTGAATAATTAGCTAATTGTTATATAGCGATTTTCAGTACCGTTGTCCGTTCTCTTCGATTTTTTAAATATTTTAAACTGATAATATAAAAACCTAAAATTCCCAATCGTACGAAAACAAATCGCTTGTAAACGTAAAGAAAACTGTATGTATTACAAATAACTTTCATCACCGCAACCCCGACTACGCCACAGTATTTTTGCGCAGAACTCACTCCAAAATTTACCGAAAAGTCCATATTTCAAGCGTGTGCTACAAACCGTACCCCAACTTCTACATGATTAATTACACAGGCCGACAAAATAAGACCGATCTCCTTACCCAGAAACCAGACTATACTTTCCCGAAGGTTTTTGGTGCGCTGAATTCAAATCTGGCCACAGAATTGCTCTATCACATCAGGATTTTGAGATATTCTAACCTATAAGTGCAAAAAATGCCGTTTTTGCCCATTTTTGAAGTTGTGTATGCAAGCCAGAGTAATTTTTCTCAATAAAATACAAAAAAGGTGTTAGTTAAAGTACAAGTCTTTCTCTTTGAAATGGCGTTGAGTTTGCTCAAATATCTTTTTGCTTCGCTGAGATATTACAATTTGAAGTTTACAGATGAACGTGAACGTGAATTGTTGGTAAAAACGTTGGACCAAATGTTAAAAAAAAAAAATTAATTTTGGGCGGGACGAAGTCCGCAAGGTCTGCTAGTAATAACACAAAAACCAATTTGGTTTTTTTTAACTCGTAACTTCAATTCCAGTTCTGCTTAGATACAAAAATTTAAAACCAAAGGTTTGTCTCTACGGGAAGACATTGGTGTTATTGAAGAGATTAAAAATAATTAACTCAAATGGAGGATAACGAATATTTGAAAACAATTAAATTCAGTCCTGAAAAGAAATTAAGGTTCCATATCTTAGTGTAATACATCCGCATTATTTTTAATAATAGTAAAAAAGTGACAACTAAATCGATGCACTAACACCACTGGAAATATGAAAATTTCGAATTCCGTCCAATCCTTGAAATAAACTGAATAAAAACAAAACATTAAACTGTACTTAGATTTTTTGTTGTTTTTCGAGCATATTTGGAAGCATATTTACTAATCTTTTAATGTTCATTAGGCTGGGTCGATTTTGTATGGGGGAAAATAAAAGTCATTTGACCGCATTGTAATAGTAATATTATGATGTCTTAGGTCTCAACCAATTGTTATTGGCTACGAAAGATTAATTTAAAACTTATCTTTAGCCCGCGCAATTGAATCAAAGTGCATGAATTTCGAAAATGAGACTTTGGCTTGTAATATCTATGGAATGCGTTATTGTTATAAACAGGACGATATATCAAATTAAGGGCTATTAAATTTAGAACCTCACGTTCATTTATCATTTTTCAATAAGTCTACACGATTTTAAGATATTAAAATAAAAAATAAGAAAACTATGATTTTCCCATATGAATTTTCAATTCTTCATTACTTCAGCAACCAAGTGAAAAATACAAAAAAGTTGGACGAGATTTATTTCAAACCTTTTAATGTTTATATAATATTAAAATGACCATGGACTTGGTCACGCCGATTTGGTCAGTTTTCAAGATCGTGGTGAATGAATGTATTGTCAAAGATTAGGAATCGTTCGACAAGTTAATAGTAGTTTCAAACATATAAGTATTTACATACATTACAATTAGGTTGAGAAACGCCTATTTTAAGTCCATTTTTGCAGTCTTAAAAACTGGTGCGGAATGGTTTCATTAGTCGCCGCAGAAGCACATTTTTCGCGGTTTCTAAATTTGCCGTTATATGAAAGTAGGGGACGTGCAATAAGTGTTTAGATATACATAAATATTTTAGTTAATTCCATTATGTGAAAAAGTGTCTGTAGGTAAATCCAATAGTTTTCAACATATCCTGGGAAATCCTTTTGAGGACTCTCCAATTGGACGATATTGCTTTGCATTCAGCTTGAACGAAAAAAGTCACTCGCTGGCACAGTTTTCTGTAATCCGGTTCTTTTATTTAAAGGTTATTTATACAATTGAAGAGAAATTTTTTTAGAAAAAAAACTGGAAATCCACTTAAGCTTTTCGATATAACTTTGGTAAATGTTACTCGATCGGTGCGTAATAATTAACAAATTGAAGGCGAGACTTAATGTTACTGATTTTTGATAATAATATGACTAAAATAGTTCAGATTATAAACAAATTATTTTAAAATAAAAAAAATCTTGAACAAAATTTTTTATCATTTTCTTATATTTGCAATTTTTATATTGTATGCATAAACATAAGTAAACCAATTAGTGTGTCTAGAAGTTGTGCCTGTTCAGTGTTTCCATACTAATTTGCATAAACAAAATTTTTCCGCGATGATGGAAAATAATGGCTATTCTATTAGAGCTACCGAAATTGTTCCTAAATTTGCAAAAAATCGCAAACTATAGCTAATATTAAAAAAGGATTAGAATATTTGGAACTAGCGATCTAAATGCACGCCAGCAATATTAATGTTGTTCTTTACATCTTTTGACTAAAGGCCAATGCAATTATCAAGAGAACAATTAAAATTTTCTTGAAAATAGATGAGTTTGAGATTAACGATAAGATAAACGGCTACGCGAAATGATACTTGACTTTATCTTTTGCGGTAAAGGATTCATTATCTAATAATATGCACCAAAAGTTTTGGCTAAACCCAGAATTTTTAACAAGAATTGGTCTTATTCGACTAGTGTGCTGTGGGTCACTTGGCGGTCGATGCGCGGGCTCTTACAATTAAAATGAAAGACTAATATTTCGCAGGCTTGTTGTTGACTTCATGATACAATATATTTTCACTATTACCAAGGGATTTGAGAAAAATTAGATTTTCGACCCGCCCTAATGTTCATCTAATGTTCTTTTAATGTACAATAGTGTCTCAGAGGTGGTCCCATACTAATCTGGTTAAGATCCGATCAGTGGATGATGATATGTATATATATATATATATTTTTTTTTATATGAGAATACTTGTAAATCAAAGAAATGCAAAGAATTCGAATTTTGTGTGCGTGGCATGCATTAAAAAGGTATTGTAGGTATTGAGGTTAAATTGTTTTGAAGTTGCACTTATGAAGGTCAGTCACACAGTGTTATTATCCCGACGAAATCCTTGACGGTGGTACCGGGAGGGGAAAGGTACATGCCAGTAGGAGGTTTAGTTTGGGTTAAAGTCTCACACTAACGGGGTTAGGCTTTCGAAGCTTCCTTCTCGTAAAAAAACATGTGCTGTGAAAAGTTAATTATTTAAATCGACGAATAGTTTTATATCAACTTTTGTGAACTTCTATTTATGTGTTTGTGTACAACATACCTCTATTATTTACAATAATTTTAAGCTATAATAACAATTTTTTAGTAATAATTATTGGGTTTGAAAAAAAAAATAATTTTAGGGCCCCCCCCCCTAAATTTCGTTCTGGCTCTACGAATTATTGTCACGAATATTTGTTGTCATCTCATGCTAATATGATTTTGGTGAATAAATGTTTGTATGTTTGTACATATGTACAAGATGCCAACATACATATGTACATATGTAAGTCAATGCATTTTGCATATTTGTATAAACGAGTACTTGCATTGTACATTTGTGCATATATAAATTTATATATTATTTATTCCATTTCGCACATCTCTGAATCACTGAATTAGAGTTGAATTTAATTTTACAGCGGAAGGTGCATTTAAGAAGCTAAAGCCAGAACCTAATACGGGCCTCTCGACGGCTTCCGGCAGCGTTACGTCGCCCGGAAACGGTTTATCATCGTTAAGTCAACATGCCAGCCATACACCGACCACAGCATCCTGCCCGACGCCAGCGAGGCGAAGACATCGGACGACGTTTACACAGGTCAGTTATGCAAATCTTGTACAAATCAAATCTAATCTAAATCTAACCTAGGTATGTATATACACACATGTACATACGTATTTATATACATACATAGGAACATGCCCTGTAGGAAATGTATCTAACTATCAGTTAACTTGAAGTTGATTGGAGAGGAACTAAAGGTCACTGTTATCTGTATATTTTCTTTGAGGAAAGCTAAGTATATTTCTATAGCGATGGCCACGAAACAGTCAAGGGTGGTTATCCCTGCATTAGAAATCAACTAACTTGTAACTAACCACTTTTGGACATAAAATATCAATAAGAAGAATATAATTTATTTACTTTATTTAACAGTACATATTTGTTTACATATTCTGCTGTAAGTGGTCCCACATTCGAATTCCGTCAGAAATAACTTCAAAATGATAATACAAAATTTCGATCTTCAATTTATTTGTCCTGATTTCGAAAAAAGTATTTGTGAAGTGCAGAAAAAAGTGTATTCAAAGTAAAATTTGTATGAGTTGAAACTTGCTATGTGTTAATTGCGCAGTCGTCGAAGTTTCTCACATTTTGCATGTGAAAGCTGAAAATTAAATGTACAACTTTACCTTTTTAACCGACTTCCAAAAAAGGAGGAGGTTATCAGTTCGTTGGAATATTTTCTCTTTTTTTATGTATGTTACCGCATAACTTTGGACCACGTCAACCGATTTCGATAATTCTTATTGCATCGGAAAGGTAGTGTCCCATACTAATCTGGTTAAGATCCGATCAGTGGATCATGAGATATATATATATATATATTTATTTATTATTATTTATCGGAGTTGAAGTCGGTTTTTTTTGCTAAAAATTACTTGTTTAATAATAAGAACAAATGTATAAATTCTCACTTCTCGTACAATTTGAAAGTAGCTCCGCGTGGAGACCTCCGCCCCGTTCAGAACGAGTTCAAAAGTTCAGAGGGGCAATTGCCACTTCGTAGGATATCGCCATCTTAAAAACTATATCGTCGATGTTTTTGCAATACCGCCCATCGACCAATTGCCGCCTATTTTACGGCACTCCAATTTCACAGGATAGCGAAAAACCGGGGTTTCTTTGAAGGCATTGCCTTGATAGCCGGTACACTGAGGGAAATAATGCATAGTAAATATGAATACTTTATATTTGATTATCGTTTAAAAATGTTCGTATTTAAAAATAATATTTTCATACAAAATTTATTACGCACGTATTTGACTGTTCACATCTGAGTATGTACATGTAAGTGTACATATGCACCCCAATTTGCCGGATTGAATCGCTTTAAAAATTTAGAAAATAGGCTATTTTACATCCAAGTACATAATTACAAATATTTTAACAGGAAACAGGCTCAATTTTTGCTTTTGTATTAAAATAATAATGATGTTGCAGCCACAAAGTTTTCGTGCAAATGAAAATGTAGCTGTCAAACTACCAAATTGCCGGCAATAGATGGCAAGATATAAGCTCTGATATATATTGCTCTTGAAGAGCAATGAGCGGTCTCCATTGGCTATTTATATTCTATATCTTGTGGAGACGGGCAGTAACGTACATTCATATGTAAATATGTATTTATGTATGTATGTAGGTTGCAAAATTTTTTTTATCCATTATCATTACAAAAAAAAATATAAAAGGCATTAACTAATCAATATGTATATACATATATGTACAAGTACATACATATCTAAATTTAACAGGTCTGAAAGCGTAGCATTTGTGGTGAAAATAACAAAATTATTGCCAAGTGCTGCCTGCTGCACCAACAGGCATCGCTGGCCACATGACTGCCTGCGCAACATTCCCTACATTCGTAACATTTATTAGCTTGCTCGTTCACTCATGGATGGCCATGGCCGATCGGGAACCAAAAATACAAGATCACGTAAGAACGCGACGTTGTATTTGTAACTGGTTTTGAGAAAAAAGTTTGCGAAAGCGGGTTCGTCAGCTGAGCGTTTGTTTACATAACAAGCACCACTATTTTACACTTTTATTCAAGTAAAGAAGAGTTAATTCAACATGACAACACATTTTAAAGCATTTTGTTGCATCATTTTACCTAAATTGTGCGTTTAAAGTGGCTGACAATAATTTTGGCTAATTTTGGTTTTCGTTGTTTTCTTTGCTTTGTTTACTTTTCGCTCGTTTTCCAGTGAAACAAGATGGCGTAGAACCCGCTAAAAAAATCGACTTTTTTCACTCTTTTGTTCTTACGTGATCTTGTGTCTTTCTTTCGTGCAATTGAAATACTTATGACTTAGGGTTTTTTATGTATGTGTTACTTAAATTTATTTATATTTTACTTATATGTATGTACATACATATACATATAGTAATTTAGCCTCATTTATCAAAAATTCAATTAACGCACATGGCTTGGATGCATTTATCCGCGATGTGCACACTGCAAGCATCAACACAAAATGAGGTTGTTGTTTTTGTTTCCAATGCGATGCTCGCAAACCACGCTACAAACGACGAGCATGCTCGCTGAAAATCAAAATTTTTTGATTTTTGGCGAGCATGCGCACAAACCGCCCTACAAACGACGAGCATGTGCGCATGTGCGCGGATATGCGTCGCTAGGAGATGATTNATATATATTGCTCTTGAAGAGCAATGAGCGGTCTCCATTGGCTATTTATATTCTATATCTTGTGGAGACGGGCAGTAACGTACATTCATATGTAAATATGTATTTATGTATGTATGTAGGTTGCAAAATTTTTTTTATCCATTATCATTACAAAAAAAAATATAAAAGGCATTAACTAATCAATATGTATATACATATATGTACAAGTACATACATATCTAAATTTAACAGGTCTGAAAGCGTAGCATTTGTGGTGAAAATAACAAAATTATTGCCAAGTGCTGCCTGCTGCACCAACAGGCATCGCTGGCCACATGACTGCCTGCGCAACATTCCCTACATTCGTAACATTTATTAGCTTGCTCGTTCACTCATGGATGGCCATGGCCGATCGGTGACCAAAAATACAAGATCACGTAAGAACGCGACGTTGTATTTGTAACTGGTTTTGAGAAAAAAGTTTGCGAAAGCGGGTTCGTCAGCTGAGCGTTTGTTTACATAACAAGCACCACTATTTTACACTTTTANAAAAAAAACGGCTAAAAACGGCTAAAATGTTTCAACCAGAATTAAATTTTTTTTTAAATATGTANGTGCTGCCTGCTGCACCAACAGGCATCGCTGGCCACATGACTGCCTGCGCAACATTCCCTACATTCGTAACATTTATTAGCTTGCTCGTTCACTCATGGATGGCCATGGCCGATCGGTGACCAAAAATACAAGATCACGTAAGAACGCGACGTTGTATTTGTAACTGGTTTTGAGAAAAAAGTTTGCGAAAGCGGGTTCGTCAGCTGAGCGTTTGTTTACATAACAAGCACCACTATTTTACACTTTTATTCAAGTAAAGAAGAGTTAATTCAACATGACAACACATTTTAAAGCATTTTGTTGCATCATTTTACCTAAATTGTGCGTTTAAAGTGGCTGACAATAATTTTGGCTAATTTTGGTTTTCGTTGTTTTCTTTGCTTTGTTTACTTTTCGCTCGTTTTCCAGTGAAACAAGATGGCGTAGAACCCGCTAA